GTATGGGTCAAAATTATCGATTTTTCTTTTATGCCAAAAATCATTAGGATATTAAGTAAAGATCATGTTCCATTAAGATATTTTGTCAATTTCCTACCGTAAATATATAAAAACTTCAGTTTTGATTAGTAATATGCATTGCTAAGAACTTAATTTGGACAACTTTAAAGATAATTTTCTCAATATTAGATTTTTTTGCACCCTCAGATTCCAGATTTTCAAATAGTTGTATCTCAGCCAAATATTGTCCGATCCTAACAAACCATACATCAATGGAAAGCTGATTTATTATCGAAAAATTGACCCTTATGACTGGTTTTGTGGTCCAGGGTCACAAATGCGATTGAATACTTATAGGATCTTTGTGGTATTTAACATTTAATTATCACAGGTTTGCTTCTTATTCTAAGTTTGCATTTCACTGCTTTTATTCATTTTGAGGAATACTGAATGTGATTTTGTGTAAGTGAGATGAGTAAATGCATGTTCTCATTTAGTCTAGAACTACAGTATCATCATGTTCACACAGCTCACACAACGCCTCTGCACTCACTCCTGATTCCTCTCAACATGGAGACAGTAGAGCTGTCACTCAATACATGGTAAACAAAGTAACTGGAGTTACTTATTTGAAAAAAGTAACTCCGATATTTTATTGTAAATTAAAAAGTAATGCATTACTTTACTAGTTACTTGAAAAAAAGTAATCTGATTACGTAACTCGCGTTACTTGTAATGCGCTACCCCCAACACTGCTGACTGACGTGTTATGCTTAGGATGCTTTTAAATGCAGTCAGAATGCTAGTTCTAAATGCTAGTTTGCACAGGAAGAGAAGAGAACACTTGTTTGTGAAAGAAGCGAACAGCTCACTTATATTCCAATCCTTTTTATCAACTTTTGTGTTTAGTGTTATTCAGCAGTCTGTGTTCTGTCAGGGATCTCCACTGTATTGTTTGCTGATTGTAACGTTACTTACGCAACCTCTGTGCAGCAATAAGTCTTTTTGCCATTGTTTTAAAAGAGAAACATTAATGCAATTTGGAATTATTGTAATTACTATTAGGAATTTCTCTGTTATAATATTTGAGAGTAGGTTTTTGTTACAGCAGTTTTCATAATGTAGACAGTGCGAGTGTATATCTGAAGTCTTTGGTGTTTATTTAGCTTCTAATTGATATCCAGTTATAAATCTGTACACTAGATGAGGTTAAATAAACCATGCATACGAGTCGATATTCTATTGATTTCTGCTTACTGGCGAAATAGCAACTTCTGATGAAATGTAAAAATAAATTTCCCAAATGACAACAATCATTGCAATTAAAATTGAGCAAAACAATATATTTTTTTTCATCATTTTAACCATTATACAGTAAGATGAAAATATGACGAAAATGTGTAAGTTTCCACTGACTAAAACTAGGCTAAAATTCTCAGACATTTAGTCGACTAAAACTTAACTAAAACTAAAACAGGACAAGTTGACTAAATATGATTAAAAACGAAAAATTACATTTGACACAGGACTAAGACTAAGACTAAATTAACAAAATTAACACTAGAGGCAGCAACATATGATAAGACAACAAGAAAGGCAATTAATAATGTTTCATTGTGCAAAAGTATTATAATATGAAAGGCTCCAGTGCAGAGCGACTCAAAGCGCTTATGCACATCCCGTGCGCAGAATGATGCGCTTGAAGCAACACGGAGTCACTCTGCATAGAAAGCTAAAAGCACAAAGAGAAGAGATATTGATGTGTAGTGTATCTTATGTTGTTGATGTCAAAGATCGTATGTCAGAAATTCATCTTTCGTCATCAAATCAGACGATGAACATAGACAGGTTGTGTGACACCCTCATCCTCAAAAACTATCAACAAGTGTTATTTTAGTGTTATTTTATTATTTATATACAGAACTTTACAGTGTTTTTTGATTATTTAAATTAGCTTTACTTTTATATTTTAAATTTTAATTTTAGTAATTTTGTTGTGCTTTTATT